TCCTTTCTATATTTTGGCTCATTTTTAGTTGAGGTCAACCTAGTAACTTCTTTGAATATACACACACACACATATATATATATATATATATATATATATATATATATATATATATTTAGATAGTTTAGATGTAATTAGTTTAAACAAATTTTTAAAAATTTGCTTTTATTAAAAATTGTACTGATAATTTTGATATCACAAATATAAATATGCTTATTAAAATGTAGCCACCAAGTGTTTTTATTGTAACCATCAAAGATTGAAATTTTTAAAAAATATATATGCTATTCATGATATATATTTTTCTGGATTTTGTTAATATAATCTTTTTTGGAAATTCACATATCTTTAAAATAATGAGAGACTATTATAAAGTCCTCATTTCCAAATTTTAGTAGTAAAGTGTGTTTTCTTTGAATTGAGAGAAGCTAACCTTTAGTAGTTTAAAGTAGCAACTTTTTCAAATATGTCTTAAAATTTCTTTCCATGAAAAACAACTTGTAGGGTGAAGTAAGAACATCTATGATCGTAATATACAGAGCCAAATTTTTGTTCCCCTTGAAAATACGAATATCCAGGCTGGAAATGATGGTATTGCTGTGAGTTTTATTATTAATAGTAATATTTTTAAGGCTTTACAATTTATAAAATGCTTTCCTATATATTACCTCATTTGATTCTTACGGTTTGCTTTTTTTTTTTTTTAAATTTTTTGAGATTCTGAAGTCTTGTGCTTTTCTTTTTTATACTCAAAGAGAACTAGTGTATACTTTTTGTTTTGTTCTCCTGGCAATTAGTATAGAATTTATTTTAACTTGAATGAGGGGGCCAGGCGCAATGGCTCATGCCTATAATTTCAGCACTTTTGGAAGCAGGGGTGGGTGAATCACCTGAGGTCAGGAGTTTGAGACCAACCTGGCCAACATGGCAAAACCCTGTCTCTACTAACAAATATAATCCCCAATACTCAGGAGGCTGAGGCAGGGAGAATTGCTTCAACCTGGGAGGCAGAGGTTGCAGTGAGCCAAGATTGCACCACTGCATTCCAGCCTGGGCAACAGAGCAAGACTCAATCTCTAAATTAATTAATTAATTAATTAAAATAAAATGAATGAGGAGCCAGGTGTAGTGGCTTATGCCCGTAATCTCAACACTTGGGGAGGCCAAGAGAGGAGGATCACTTGAAGCCAGGAATTCTAAACCAGATTGGGCAAAAAAGTGAGACCTCATCTTTACAAAAAACTAAATTAGCCAGATGCAGTGGTGTGTATCTGCAAGTCCCAACTACTTGGGAGCCTGAGGCAGGAAGATCGCTTGAACCCAGGAGGCTGAAGCTGTAGTGAGCTGTGACTGTGCTACTGCACTCCAGCCTGGGAAACAGAATGAGACATTGTCTCCAATAAATAAACAATGATAATAATAAGTATTGGTAAGGATATGAAGAAATTGGAGCCCCTGTGCATTGTTGGTGGGAATATAAAATAATGCAGCTGCTATAGAAAAGAGTATTGTGGTTCCTCACAAAATTAAAAATAGCATTATTGTTCAGCACTTCCACTTTTGGGCACGTACCCAAAAGGATTGAAAGCAGAGTCTCAAAGAGATTTTGTATACGCGTGTTCATAGCAGCATTTTTTACAATAGCCAGAAGATGGAAGCAATGCAAGTATCCATCAGTGGATGAATAGGTGAACAAATATGGTATATACAAACAGTGGAATATTATTCAGCCTTAAAAAGGAAAGGAATTCAGACACATGCTGCAACATGGATGGACTTTTAGGACATTATGCTAAATGAAATAAGCCTATCACAGAAGGACAAATATTGCATGATTCCACTCACATGAGGTATCTAGAGTAGTCAAATTCATAGAGACAGAAAGAATAGTGGTTGTCAGCAGCTGGAGGGAGAAGGGAATATTATTAATTGGGTACAAAGATTAAGTTTTGCAAGATGATGAGAGTTCTGGAGATGGATGATGATAATGGTTGTACAACAGTGTGACTGTACTTAACACTACAGTTGGGAAAATGCTAGTTTAAAAAGTTCACTTGCTGGCTGGGCACAGTGGCTCACGCCTGTAATCATAGCACTTTGGGAGGCAGAGGCATGTGCACCACCTGAGGCCAGGAGTTCCAGACCAGCCTGGCCAACATGGAGAAACCCCATCAATACTTTTTGTATTTTGTAATAAATACAAAAATTAGCTGGGCATGGTGGTACATGCCTGTAATCCCAGCTACTCAGGAGCCGGGGGTAGAAGAATGGCTTGAACTCTGAAGGCAGAGGTTGCAGTGAGCCGAGATCGCACCACTGCACTCCAGCCTGAGTGACAGAGCAAGACTCTGTCTCAAAAAATTAAAATAAAATAAAATAAAAACAGAGGCTGAGTGCTGTGGCTCACGCCTATAATCCCAGCATTTTTGGAGGCCAAGACGCATGGATCACTTCAGGTCAAAAGTTCAAGACCAGCCTGGCCAACATGGTGAAACCTGCTCTCTACTAAAAATACAAAAATTAGCCAGGTGTGGTGGTGCATGCCTGTAGTCCCAGCTATTTGGAAGGCTGAGGCAGAAGAATCTCTTGAACCCAGAAAATGAAGGTTGCAGTGAGCAAAGATGATACCACTGCACTCCAGCCTGGGTGACAGAGTGAGATTCCTTATAAGATAAGATGTAAATACTAAGTGATAGAAGTTTCTCAGCTCTATTATAATCTAATGGGCCCACCATCATATGCAGTCCATCCTTGACTGAAACATCATTATGTGGCACCTAGGCTGTATCACATTCTGTAACAATTTGTTTGCATTTTTGTCTCCTTCAGAAAAATATTAGCTGCTTCAAGGAAGGAACTACTTGTTATTCATCTCTGTATCTCCAGTACTTAACACATTTTCTAACAAATAGTAGATACATGATGAAAACAATATAATCATAATAACAGCAGATAACATTCATTTCCAGATATTATCAGACATACTTTATGTTTATTAATTTAAATATCACAAAATCCAATCAGCCAGACACAAAGTAATTAAATACCTTCCCCAAAATTGGCCAAGAAGTAGGAAACAAGCCTGGGATTTCATCACAGGCAGTCTATATTCTTAATTACTATGCAATATATAGCATCACATGTATCAATAAATGATTACACATGTAAATTAATGAATTTTATAGTTTCACTTTCTTCTAGACCTAAGCTGCTGCTTTTACCCTTTCCCTTTTTTTTTTTTTTTTTTTTTTTTTTTGAGACAGGGTTTTACTCTGTTGCCCAGGCTGTAGTGCCAAGGCATGATCACAGCTCACTGCAGCCTCTCCTCCCAGGCTCAAGTGATCCACCTCACCCTCCCAAGGAGCTGGGATTACAGGCCTGCACCATTACACTTGGCTAATTTCTGTATTTTTTTTGTGAAGGATAGGATTTTGCCCTGTTGCCCAGACTGGTCTTGAACTCCTAGGCTCAAGCAATCTGCCCTCCTCGGCCTCCCAAAGTACTGGGATTACAGGCATGAACCAACATCCCTGGCCTACCCTTTTCTAAAGTAGCATTTATTTTAGGAAGTTATGTACATTGTTGTATTTGTTTGAGTTGTCATAGATACTAATACAATTTTGATGTGGTATTGAAATAATTCCCACTGGTAGTGTTTTCCTACTTAGCAAAGTGTAGACAGTAAGAAATCAACTATATAGCAAAGAGAAATTTACTGGGGAAAATGTGCCTAGTATTCATGCCCACTGATTCTAGAATTGTTGCTTCAAATGAAAAGCGTTGAAGATGATGGCACCATGTTAGTATTTTAGGCAGATGGAGCATCAGTCAAATCTTGGAACTGCTATACCCAGCTTTGAAGTGTTACTGTATTGAGTAGGTAAATCTTCCTTCTAGGTATAATCTAAAATTGTTCAGCAGAGCAAATGGGTTTATATTTGACAACTAGGGAGCAACACTAGCATTTCTTTCTCTTTTGTTGTATGCCAAATATATTTTAAAATATAAGCCATAATTTTAATACCTAAAGTAAATACCATGCATTTTTTAATTTTATTTTAGTAATTTCTGTTTATAGTGAAGAAGAGTTTTGTTTTTTTTTTAACTGTCCTAAATGTTTAATAAGAGTCAAAAAGCCTGAGGGGAGATATCAATCTGGTAGTTTTTAATTATTAAGATACAGCAGTTGTAGGCCAGGCGCAGTGGCTCACCCCTGTAGTCCCAGCACTTTGGGAGGCTGAGGCAGGTGGATCACAAGGTCTGGAGACTGGGACCATCCTGGCCAGCATGGTGAAACCCAGTCTCTACTAAAAATACAAAAATCAGCTGGGCGTGATGGTGCACGCCTATAGACCCAGCTACTCGAGAGGCTGAGGCAGAATTGCTTGAACCCAGGAGACAGATGTTGCAGTGAGCCAAGATTGCACCATTGCACTCCAGCCCAGTGACAGAGCAAGACCCTGTCTCAAAAAAGAAAAAAAAAAAAAAATAGGATATGGCAGTTATATTGATACTCCTTCTCCTGTTTGTTTCCCCCCAAAAAATACTTTCTTTGCTTAATTTGCTTTCTCCGTAAGAGTGAATAGAGGCTGAGTGATGTGCCACTGCACTGATTAAGTGATTTACTGGCACAAAACTATTGGGGCTTAACTAGTTGACTGTTTTAATAACATCATTAAAGTTTCATTTTTGGTTTATTAGAGCACATCCATGCAAAGTTGGAATCTAATCATTCTCATGTCTCCTTATTATGCCTAGGGGATCTTAGAAACACTATTTTTGCCAACTCATACTTTATATTTTCATTCTATACATGTGAAATATGTAAGCAAAAACGTTTAAAAAACATAAAGAACATTCTTTGACCAGGCACTCTCCTTGACTACAAAATTTCCTCATTACCTATTTTTTAATAGCCATTATTGAACTCTCTTCCATTTCTAAGTTTCTCTCTGCAGCTTTCCTGAACATGAAGTGTTTCCTTTTCTTTCCACTTCTAGCTTTCCTTTCGCTGTGCCTCATGTACACTTGGAAGCTTCAGGGATTTAGCAGTGATCATGCCAGCCTCTACAGATCGCGTCTCTGTCTGTAGTTGAGTCTCCATGGTAATGAGAAGCAAAAAGTGCTGAAGCAGCACACTATGTAAGGACTGGCAAGAGAAAATACTGCCGAGGCCTCTACAGGCGTAGCATTTAATCCCCATGGTGCCGAAGAAGCCCGAGAGAAGCACGCTGTGGTGTGGAGCGGGAGACTAAGGCCATGGACTTGGCAGATTTACTAGCAGCAATATTCTAAGACGAACCTAATTTACAGTTTGCAAGTGCTCTTTTCAATTGGAAAAGACCTTGAATTTTTCTTTTCTTTTCTTTTAGGAGGCCAGATGCTCCAGTGCCTGATGGCGAAAGTGAAAAAACTGTAGAAGAAAGTTCAGATAGTGAATCTTCTTTTAGTGACTAAGCTTAATTTTGATAAGAATTACATATGCATGCATAAGGGTACATTTACATTCTATGAGAGGCTGAGCCTGAACTCTAACTCTTAGTCATAAAAACATCAGATGGCCACATGTCCACTATCAAGCTTCTTCTATATTAAAAAAAATAATAAAGCATTTATAACCTGCCAGTCTCATTACTAAAATAAAGGGCCTCAAAATGAAAAATAAGATAAACTAAATAAAGAATAATCAGTGCTACAAATACTAAGATGGACTATTTTAGAGATGAAATGAGCAATTATGGCCTGGCACAGTGACTCACGCCTGTAATCCCAGTACTTTGGGAGGCCTAGGTGGGTGGATCACCTGAGGTCAAGAGTGCAAGACCAACCTAGCCAACATGGTATAACCCCATCTCTATTAAAAATACAAAAATAAGCTGGGCATGGTGGCAGGCACCTGTAATCCCAACTACTCAGGAGCCTGAGGCAGGAGAATGGCTTGAACCCAGGAGACAGAGGTTGCAGTGAACCAAGATTGTGCCATTGCACTCTAGCCATGGCATCGAGTGAAACTCCATCTCAAAAAAAAAAAAAAGAGACGCAATGAGCAATTTTAAATGAAGTCAGTGTGAGTTTAGTGATTAATAATCGACCTAATGCAAAAAAAATAGTGAATTTGATGAAATTATTCATTTTTTGTGAATATTTTAGCATGAAAATATATGGATTCATATCATGAGTTGTTAAAGACATTTCTGGTAGAAAGTAATACTGGGTTGAAATTTTCTGTTGCAACTAAAAACAGATCACCTATGTTATGGTTATGGTACTTATTGGTAATATTTTTTAGCATATACAGACTTTTACCACTTGGCCATTAGTTTGTATGTTTTTTAAGTCAGATATTCTTATACAGTCGCATTGATTAACAACAGGGATCCATTCTGAGAAATGCGTTGTTAAGTGATTTTGTTGTTGTGCAAACATTGTGGAGTGTACTTACACAAAACCTATTTCTTCTGGGCTACAAACCTGCACAGTGTGTTACTGTAGTGAATACTGTAGGCAATTATAACACGATGGTATTTGTGTACTTAAATGTAGAACAGCTGCAGTCAAATATGGTATTATAATCTTAGGTAACTGACCAAAATATTGTTATGTAGCACAGACTATATTTATTAGCGGATGGAAATTGAATTGAAGGTAGTTTCAGTGTGGTTCAGAGTGAGTAACCATCATTGCCATCAACTCCTTTATTACCTAAACAACAAAAAAAAAATTGTGCAGGATTAAAATGTTCTCACCTCACCTTGCAAATAAGTAATTATTCATAGTTATTTACACAGTCTACAAAATTTCTGAAGTACTTATATGGAAAAATATGTAAATATATTTAACTAATTGTGCCCATTTTAGTTTAGTTCACCTGAAATTCGAGCCTGAGAAGAGAACTTGGGTGTATATAGGTCATTTGCAAGGTGATCCCAGAAAACAGATGTGAGAAAACAGGGAGAGGAAAAGGGAGAAAACCACTTAAAAGTATATTATCGGCTGGGTGCAGGAGCTCATGCCTGTAATCCCAGCACTTTGGGATGCTGTGACAGGCGGATCACTTGAGGTCAGGAGTTCGAGACCAGCCTGGCTGACATGGTGAAACCCTGTCTCACTCCAGCCTGGGTGATAGAGTGAGACTCAAAAATAATAAAAAAGTTTTTTAAAAGTGTGTTATCAAGATTGCCAGTTAGGGTTTGAGTGCTCCAAGACCTTCTGAGAAGCTTTCAGAATGCCTCCCAAAATTTTCCACCTAATATAACTGAGGTCATTTATTAATCAGTTTCTATCTGCCATTAGATGAGAGTTGTCTCTACGGGCATTAATTATCCTTGCACTTCTGGGCTGTGCTTTTGTGTGGGAAAGCAGCACCCCAGTGTTGAAGAAAGACTCAAAACAGAAAGCAGAAAGATGCATGGCTTCAGTTGCAGTGGGATTTCACCAACAAAAAGGACAAATTTGAGCTTACTCACCTAGAACCAGCCATGTAGCTGTGACTGATACCGGAAGCGGACAAGGGAATGTGCAAAAAAGATATTTACTTCAGTCTACCAATAAGCAGGCAAATCAGAACTGCTTGAGTCCCATGTTAAGTCTGTTTTGTCTTTCATCTGTGGACTAGCACAAGGTGGTGGTCAGCCACAGTCTTTCTAGAATCTACACAGGAAGATGAGTGAGACAAGCTACGGTTGCTGTCGCTACACCTGAATGCAAGACCAAAACTGATACTTGTCATCTCCTCCACCACCCGTATTGCATTTCTCTTGCTCTATCAGAAATTCTGCTGGTCTAGGTTGATTGTCATTTATAGTGACCCAGACCTTCATCCTTTAGGTTTTCTAGGGTTTTTATTGTTTTGCCCTGTTTAGGCAGTGGTTATCACAGTCATGTTTGCTGTTCACACCAGGAACTGAAGCACCACGACATGCCCCAGTGAACCACCTGCATTCTAGACATATTCTTCCTGTTTCAGTCTGTAATCACAACCCTAGCTCCTCATGTTAACATATTACTTCCTGTTTTTGTCTGTTATCCCACAGACATGAGCAGTCCCAAGGGACTGATTGGCAGCAGTAAATTCAGTTTGGTGGAATCCTTAACTGTGCTTGCCCACAGAAGTGTGCTAGTTTCTTCTCCCTACCCCATCTGTGAACTGGGATTTCCAGCAAAGTCTGAGGTGACAGAATGGGAACAATTGCCAAAGAATGTCACTGACAATGGTGGAAAAGAACCATTCCTGTTTCTCTTCTCTTGATTCCTGGGTCTGTGAATCCTGGCAGTTGAAGACACAGCATCATACACTAATCATTTTTGTAGTGCATTTACCACAACCTAGAGATTGGCACCTCAACCCTGCAGGATGTCATCTCTGAGCTGTTGCCTACACTGAGCCTATAATAGACAATTTCATTGTTCTATTTGATTGATTTCTTCTGGATAATGCTGTCTACGGTAAGACCAGTGGATCCAACAATTCATGCACCTATTGTTGCTCATTTGCTGCAAAATAATCCCAAGATCTGAAGCAGTATAATGCAGGATACCATGTTGATAAATAGGCATTTCTGTAGTCTTTCAGAGAGTAATGCTGGCAGAGGTGCCTCTGGAAGAAAAGGAAAGCCCCTATTAAGAGTAATAATTAATTACAATAGCAAATAATTACTCCTCTTCCAAGGTGGAAGAAATTTAATGCAAATAAATTGCTCCCAAGTGACTGATTAACCTCTTCAAGGAGTAGTAGTACCAAATCATTGGTCTCCGCTGCCGACCAATTGGGTATTCAGCAGTAGCTGAATCCTAGCTCATCTAGCTCATCACTAGATGAGTTTTAGTGAGGAAGCCCCAAGCTGTTGGTCCCAATCATAGCTTGCATCTCTGCCACCATGATTACTCCATTTGTGGGCTCATTGTATAACCTGGGGCAATCAAGGACAAGGCTGGTTGACATCTACTGGAGAAATCATCCTATCCGCCTAATTTTTCCTCCTGAGTGTTTTCTTTCTGGCAGAGAATCTACAAAAATCTCCACACTTGTGCACATTCCCATGGTTTTGTTCACATTCTTTATCCCTAAATATCACTTTCTCTAATCTTCCAATATTGTTCCTTCCTTGTCCCTGACCAGCCTACCCAGTTACCAAGATCAAAAGTGTGTAGTGCTTAACTCAGGCCCTATGCTTTTTCAGCAACATCATGACAAAGTGTACTATTTGAAGTTCTGTCCATCAGGAAGGTTATTTTCCCTACCACTAATTGTTAGAGCCGCCTCTGTCAGAGGCAGCAGTGTGGCAGCCGGTCATTTTTGCCCACATCAATATATCAATCTTGACCATGCATCAACAAGGTCCACTGTTTCCTGTCAGCTGGTGTGATACTATTGCAAAAGTGCCTTCAATTGTTCACTTCTCCCTATTCCATGCTTTTTGCCAGTTTGCACTGCCCGCCCCCTCTGAGTAGAGCATTTGGCCTCAACTTTTGATTCTGAACTTAGCCAATGGAATATTAACAAATGTGATCCAAGCAGAGGCTTGACAAATACTTGCCTTCTCTTGTGGCTCTGTTATTGACATAAGAACATGACTTGGATAGTCTGATGAGGATGAAAGATGCATGGAGCAGATGAGGTTCCATTCACATATTGGCCAACCCAAGAAATGAGCAAGACCAGCCAAGATCAGAAAATCTACCTAGCCAATTCCCAGCTGGCTGTGGATGTGTGAATAGTAAATGCTCACTGTTGATTATCATAAAGTTTTTTGTTGTTCTTGGTTGTTACCACGTAATTGTAGCGATAAATAACTGACACGGTTGACGAAGATGCCCCATGAGATCACACAAGTATGTTGAAGATAAGGCATTAGTGTAAGAGATGTAAATGAGATGGAAGGTAAATGATAGGTCACTTGTCCATGTAACTTACATGTGCTGTATTGGCTTTTTCAGGCTTCATCCCAGATGTATAATTCCGTTAAATAATGGATTGCTACTGTGACTACCTGACTTTATGATTTGGTATATCCAATAACACTCAGCTTAGGATGGGCAGCTCAGTTCATTACTTGATATCATATATGGTCAGATTCTCAGGGTTTTTTTCCTTTTTTTTTTTTTTTCTAAAAAGAAGAAATGGAAAAACAGATTCTCACCTTCTACTGGGCACATGCTAGGTATTGCTGTTCAAACAATGAGAAGGCAAGACCTTCGCTCCAGAAGCAGGAGGTCTGTGCTATTAATCTTCTGTTAGGGCTTGCTAGACATGCTGCACAATCTTCATATCTGCCATAGACATCTCTATGATCAATCGGTATTCTGAGCCATATAGTTCAGGAAGGAGGGCAGCTTGCATCACAGCCTGAACTGGCAGCAGAGCCCT